GGAATGTGTACACACAGCAAAGAAAGAACAGCCTTCTGTCTTGTTTTCCGTTCATCACAGGCTCCTGTCAATGTACTCTGCATCCCATGACCACGCCCTGGGCTCAAGAGCACAGTGACTTTCTCTCCTTATATGATCCAGCAGTACACTCAGACACACAGTAGGGTATTATTATCAAATAAAATTGATATTCTATTACATATTATTTCATGTATGGCTAGTTTTGAGAATGTTGTTCAATATTTTGGTTTTAGAGCTTTTATTAAAGATCCACATCAGTGGGCTTGGAGGTTAAGAGCCCTGGCTGTTCTTCCAGAGGACCCAGGTTCAATTTACCAGCACCAACTGGGTTACAAGCATCTGTCTATAACTCTAGTTCCAGAGGATTCAATGCCCTCTTCTGACATCTCTGTGTACTGCATACACCTGGTATCTACATACATGTATAAAATAAATAAATAAATAAGTTAATTAATTAACTAAAGGTAAAGTAAGTAAATAAATAAAAATCCAGACAGGAAATAAAAATTTAATAAAAACAAGATAAAAGTGTAATAACGTGGAAAAAGTTTCTTTTTAGGTCATGAGTAATGTGCAGACTTTTGCATGTCTCACTGTGCTGAATGAAGTTTTAGGGACCCAAACATTGAACCCAACTGCTGTGTTCGCACAAGTCCAGTTGACACTATGAGTCCTTCATTTTCCTGTTCTGATGTTTCTTTTAATTAACAACAGGCTTTTGACATACAGATTAATTTAGGCATATAACAGTAAGGTTTCTATGTATTATTTTCTATGGATTAAGTTACCTTTTCTTTAATCAAAAGCTCTCTAAAAATGGCAATGTTGCTCCTACATTTTATTTCTCACAGAAACTTCATATTGATGAATTGAGTGTTAGCTATGTGATACTGATAATACAAAAGCTAGTTACTCTCTGTTGTCTGTGCTGTTACCTAAAGCATTACTATGGCTTAGATGATCTAGCTATAAGAATCAACAAATCCTGTTGACTAAGCACAATGGCATAAAAAAGGAGTTCATTAAAATTGGTCAGTAGTTAAGTTCGTAGTAAATTTTTTAGGCCTACAAAGTATTATAAAGCAAACAAAATATAATTGTTCAAATACAAGTTAGTAGGATAGTACCTCTATTTCTCCCACAGATGGGTGGTGTAGAGATTATATTACTAAGAAAAATATCTAAGTTTTTCCCAAAAAACTTTCTGACTTCCATACAGATTTCAGAATTTCTAAAATGTTTAAAAGAAGTATTTTCTGAAGTAAATCTTGAACTAAGAATTACATAATTGCCTGCAACACCTTCTTATCCAGATGAAAGTAACTCCTTAAATTTCCACCTGATTTAGAAAACTTCTGTTTGCCTCAGTTACTCAGAGCAGTTTTTAGCTGTTCTTTTTACCCTAAAAATGGCATGCATTAATTCTAGATTTACAGAGGGGGTTGAAATACATTCACATATTAAATTCTTTAATGCAATCATTTCGTTTTTGAGATTAAAACACATTATCATTTGAATAGTTTCTATTTTCAAAACATGCGAGCACACTGCATATCGCCCAAACAGTAAATAAGTCATTTTATTGTAGCTTTGATTCTTGCCCATTAAAATGCTCATTCACCTGGGCTTCAATAAAAACATTTCATATAGATTTTTTTTTCTTTAACAACATATAATCAAAGCATTTCTCTCTTGGTTACCAAGATGATCCTTTTTATCATCCATCTGTGAGAATATTTAAAAAATATTCAATTGATAATTATTGTACACATATTTCAAATGTCTGGGGCATGATGCTGAATGAGTTTCTGTAAAAACTGGTGAAGAAAAGAAACTGTAAAGAAGAACATAAAACTTAAATGTTGAGAGTATCATTCAGCATCAGCATGGACAGTCACACTGGTCCAGTGAGGTGACAGGCAGAGTCCAGCCTCTCCCCCTGTCTGTTTTCTTAATCTTTATAGCAGTGTTTGTTATCACAGCACAGGAGTGGGGTCCTTGCTGCTCCACCAAAAGACACCAAAGAAGGTGGGAATTCAGAAACTCATACGAACCTTCTATTAGACCTTCAAGTGCATTTTTTCCTATTCGACCCCTAATTTGAAATGAACAAAATATTATCCTACAAGTGCATTAATCCAGAATTGTAGTCAAGTGATGGTGGTTGAATGTTACATGACTGAAACTTTTTTACTTCACTACTTATTACCAAAAATGAGAAGCGAAACAGACATGGCAAACTCAAAGTAATACTAATTGTTTTACCTGCTCCAGGCATGCTGATTTATCTGCCAATCAACTCAGAGCTATAATTAGTCAATTAGTATGTTGGCTTCACAACAAAACACCAGATTCAAAATCCAAACTACTCGGGATTTTTTCTGATGTGGGATCAAATATTATTTTCTACTTAATTTTCATCATTTTCCCAAGAGCAAATTACACAGTAATTCTTTTGGTTTCCATTTCCAAGAAAACTTGGCTTACCTTGTTGCTGTTAGCTAAATTATTCACAACAACCACCTCAAATATCTGCTGGAATCCAGTGGGATGAGCTGCTGATCTGGTTTAGTGTAACACTTGTGTGAAGGATAGTGTAACAAATGTTCTGATATTTCTTTTTTTAATTAACCCACTTGAATACATTTTCACAAGGTCCAAGGGGCTTTTTTGGGAAGGAACTGACCAGAATCCATCTGTTCTAGAATTAATATCTTAAAATGTGCTTTAGAAAGTTCACAAACAACATCTTGCTCTTTCTCATGTTAAAAAGTCTTAGGCTGTTAATGATGCATGGTTAAGAGGAATAAAGAAGCCAAATTAGGGCAAAATCTCAGGGTTCACTGGGAGCCAGAGCAGACATTTAATACTGAGACAATAGTCCTCCTACTGCTAAGGCTATTGATTGATAGACAGACCATGTGATTGAGTGGGTTCTTTGGCTTTTAGCTGGTTAACTTGGTGTCCTGTGACCCCACTACAGTGTGGTTTTTAAATACAAGATATGAGTATGCATGTAAGATTCAAACTGAATCAATCACAAATCCTTACCAGTTCTGAAGATACTCGACACAGAGGAAAATTACAGAGGAAAATAAAAATTCAAATAACCATGGTTCCCACATATTTGGCATTGTATTTCCATCTCCAAACAAGTCATTACACAGGATTTTCAACTGGAGAATTTTGGTCAAATATGATGATAGCCAATAAAATTTTCTGAATTATAAGCAATACTATAAAATAAAATCATGGATGCTACTGAAAGCCTTTAAATCAAAATATTCCAAAAGAAACAAACAACATGACTAAGGTCCTTAAAATAATTCTGAATAGTTTTTTTCCTCTTTGAATCTGCAAAGTTTGTACTGGTGAGAAAATGCCATTCCTTACCTACTGCAATGATAACAGTTGGAGAAATGCATGACTAGAGGTTGTGGGGAATACCAGTGTCCCCATGCACTGGGCTCCAAGAGTCACTGCTTTCATATCAATATGGTCGATCCTTCCTATCATCTACCATACTCCAAATCTCAAATCAGTAAACTAGAAAATGATTTTCACTTCCCATCCTCAAATGTCTAATGGAGATTGGACTGAAAAGCCATCAATAGTCAAGATGGCCAAAATACATATATAATATTAAAAATGATTATGAGGGGCTGTATTGATGGCTTATTGGCTGGTCTTGCAGAGGACCTTGGTTCTGTTCTCAGCACCCACATGATGGTTAATAACTATTTGTAACTCCAGTTCCAGGGCATCCAGCAGGGTCATCTTCTGGCTTCTACATGAATCGCACCCATATGGTGCACAAACAGCCAGGCAGGTAAAATATTCATACACATAAGATAAAAATAAATATATCAAAAATAATTTTAGAAAATGATTATGAAAAATAACATAATCAACATTTTTCAAATATTTTAAAACAAAAAATTGAGAGTACAATATCTTTCTCTACACAAAATATGGTGAACTTAGAGGTTGGAATAAAATTTTGAGCACAATTAGAGAGAGGAATAAAATCATTTGGTGATACATTGTATTTTTTTAGCAAATTCTATTAAGTAAAACACCAGCAACAATGTTTATTAAGTAACATAATTCAACATTGTTCTATTTTGATTTTTAAGACAGGGTGGCCCTGTAGTCCCAGCTGGCCTGGAACTCCGAATGCAGAGCAGGGTGGTCTAAATCTCACAATGATCCACCTACTTTGGCCTCCCTAGTGTGGGATTAAAGGCTGGCATCATTCTAAATGGCACAATTTTACTTCTTTAACTCTGGTAATACTCTGCCAAAATTATATTGGTAACCTGGCTACTACATGAAAACGAGTTTGGAAATAATTTTGCTCTACACTTTTCTTCAAAACTATCTCACCTTCGACTTTATCTTCCACTGGAAAGAAGTATACATGATTTAATTCAATTATTTTACCTCGTGAAATCAATGTATGCTTCTCCAAATTCAGTTATTCAATCAAATATATTCAGAGAAAATATTCGTGATTACTACAGCACCACAAAAGAAAGCCAGAAAAAGACGCGCACACAAACAATGGCAAACGATAATTTCCCCAAATTAATCCATGCGCAATTCCAGAGACTAGTGTTCACTTACTCCAAGAGAATTGAAACCTCAGACATGTTTTAAAACATCGTAAAAAGAAAAGAAGAAGAGGGAAAAATTTGTTCAGGATCTCCATTTTCAAGGCCTTTGCCACTGTTGGCCTTCAAGCTTCTATAAAGTCAAACCAAGAACATTCACCAGCAAGCTATGCTTTCATTACCTTCTGATTCTCCTTTCAAAATCTTCCCATGTTGCTTTTACTTCTTTTGTGAACATTTACCAACTCGTTGAAACTATCGACAATTTTGATTCAAAACATAATCAACAAGCATGATGAAAGCAAAACCAAAGAATCACGTAGTTGACGGCTGAATGGCGAAAAGGAGAAAGAGACGGTATCTTACCAAGTACCCCAAGCCGATAGTTGACCGTGATAACGATCACATTGCCATAGCTTGCCAAGACACTCCCGTCGTACAGATTTCCAGTACCTTCCATGTACGAGCCTCCATGAATGTACACCATCACTGGCTTGGGACCCCCACTGTCCCGAATATCTGCAAAACAAACGATAGGCAATTATTCTTATCCTCAACAGCATCCTAACGAATCAATACATTCATTTTCATTTTAGGGACAAAGGGACATGGTTTTAATATGTCCTCAAATTGCTGTTGTCTTGAAGTGTTTCTTAAGCAATTTGTATTGAGTTATTTTAAAAAGGAACAGGCATCTATTGTTTTCTGTCTAAAATTATGTTTATAAGTTACAAGCTGGATTATAAAAATTGGACAAATTGGAAGTAGGTGTGGATTTTAGCACATTTTGATGGATTCCTGAACTGAGAATGTAAGCAAAGTAAATAATAGAAGGAGATTGGTACTTGCACCTCCCTTGAAAATGGGAGAGATCTCTTATGATGTTTACATACTGTAAAGTAAGGATGAGGGTGCAACTCTCCTGTGATCCCAGCAATCTGTTCCTCCATCTTTCTTTCTGTGGACCTTTGTGTCCTTTGTGATTGCATGAAGTCATTTACGCTCACATTTGTGAGCATAATTATAGTATTGTATTGTTCATTTCAGAGTTTAATTTTACTGCTTAAGTGCTATCAAATGATTGTTTAGGCAGCAAAATCGTGCACATCTGGGCACCCGTTGTTGATGCATTTAGAGAAAAATCGTGTAAATGATGTCTTTTGGAAAGCTCACGCCATTCACTCATCTCACCAAATCTTAACCTTTGGAAGAAGAAAATGAAAGAATTATATATCTCTCTCCACTTCCTGTAGATAATCTCCCTCATAGCCTCTCTGTGATTACACATGTTTATTGTACAGCCATGAGACAGATAAAGCTAAGGGTAAAATGCCAAAACTTACGATGACATGAAGGTGGTTGCTCTCACACTTTTAATTTCAGTTACAAACATTTTAATTGGATAGATGTACTGCCCACAACTATGTGGTTTTCAAGGCTTTCCACATAATGTATAAGTTAAATAGCCTGGTGTGGTACATGCCTTTAGTCCCAGCACTCAGGAGGCCGGGGCAGGCAGACCCCTGAGAGATTGAAGCCAGCCTGGTCTACATAGACAGTTCTAGGCCAGCTGGGGCTACAGGGACACCCTATCTCAAAATAAAATGACAACTAAACAAACAAAAAAAAGAAACAAATTGAAATACAATAATTGCTGTAGAAAGGTAGCCTATATATTGGTTCACTTATGCACATTAAAATATATGTGTAGACATAGCAGTGAGCATATATGAATAAATATTACAATTATATAGTAGCCTTTGGTATTTTATACTCACAAACAATATTATATCAAGTATATTATCTTTAAAATGGATATTGAAAGTGCCAGTTAAAATTATAATTTAGTTCTTTGGTTCTTGAATTTTTAAAAGTCTATCTTAGGTCTCCTACAACTTTACAACTGAGGCATCACTTTTCAGAATGAGCTAAAATGATACAAATCATGAGAACTACTGACTATTTAGAGACTGTTTTCACATTTCCTTTATAATATTTAAAGGTTTTATATTTTTTCTGCTGTGGTGGAGTAGTTTCTCTGAGTGAAAACTCACTTTAGGAACTCAATTGCTATTTCTCTTGCTTATGGAGACCTCCAACTTTAGGAGACAGCTCATGCACAGCCTGGAGATCTTTTTTTTTTGTGTGTGTGTGTCTTTTTGAGACAGGGTCTCCCTGTAGTCTTAGCTGTCCTGGAACTCACTATGTAGACCAGGCTGGCCTCAATCTCACAAAGATCCACCTGCCTCTGCCTCCCAAGTGCTGGGATTAAAGGCATCTGCCACCAGGAGACCTTTTTTAATTGCATTTTTGGAGGAAAGTGTTAGTTTATTTTCTTTATAATTTCTTCATTTTTTATTCTTGATTTTCTAATTTAACACACAAAGTAATGGGTTTCATTATGGCATTCTTATATCCAATACCCTATTCTAATATGTCCCACTTAAAAAAAAATTACTTTAAAATGACTTACTGCGGGTATGTCTGCATAAGCCATGCCTTCTTCCCCGAAGGATGAACTTCTTAAGAATATCCAGTTTCAAAGTGAAAAGAGAGCATTTTTTTTTTCCATAGTAATCATCTGGTAGGTACAAGGGTACTTTTAGGGGGAAAACATATTTATTTCCTTCTGAAATCCTTTGGTAGGAAAATGGTATCCTCTCTTATGGGACGATTTGGGGGCTTATGGAAATGTCAGACTAACCCAGAGAAAGCAGTCCTTTTTAAATGCACCTAACTGTGTACCTCAACTGCCTATTTGCTGCGTAAGTTCTAGATTCCTATTTTTTTTCATATATTGGCACTGAAGAAGCAATAATAAATTATTAAACTGAAATCATTAGCTGACTGTTCACAGCAGACACTGTGCTCTGCTAATTGTATGCTTGGAGGTAGCACAGAGGGAGGCTGTTTCAGAATTCTTCTTTAATTAAAATTACATAGAATTACAAAGCACCCACTGTGAACAGTAATGAAGTCTTGGTAGAGCCATTCTGTTCACCTGGAAAACAGTGCTGGCACACATGGAGAAAAACAGCCATGTGCACACCTTGCTGTCGAATTATGTGGACAGTGTGACAAACTGAAAATATGTCAAAAGAAACTAGGAGCTATTCTGAGGCAAATTTCTTTCTTTTTTCTTAAAAGCAGACTTGAAAGAATCATAGATATTTGCATCAATTTGAATTGCAAATCCATTTTTTCAAACTTTTCAGGGATTTCGATCTTGCCTAAGAATTTGGAATATTGAGATGTCCTTTGCGAAGAAGTTCAAATAAATTCTAATGCTGTGTGCTGAAAAAAAAAATATATATATATTTTGGCTTGAAGTGATGAGGTTAATATTATAAAGAGTGTTGACTACAAAAATAGGTAAAATTATTGGGCTTAACTTCATACACTGTTTGGGAAACCTTAGAAAACTTGGATAAATTCTAATATAAACTAATTACAATTCTTTGCTAGTGAGCCATGTTTATCAGAGTGGCCCATTTTTATTTGTTTGTGTAATCCATGAATTTTTTTGCTCTTTATAATAAACAGTTAAAATTGTAACTATTTACTTTGCTTTTTAAAAGAGCTACAATTTTATAAACATGTCAGACAGCATAACATTGAATATTATGTGCTTATGCTATTGTTTTAATAATGACATTTTTGAAGTCTATCTTCATTTGAATATATTAAATGTACTTCAGCAACTAATATTGAAGTCTTCTTAGCCAAGTTATCTTCATAAAGTTTCTTATTTTATCCTCTAAAAAAGATGAAATAATGTGCTTCGTGGTTTTTCTACATTTTTACTTTGCCTAAACAGCTGACTTTACAAAAACTGCCAGCACAATCCCCAGGGTCTTAATATATTAGCTTAAATTCAGTAAAACTACACATTTCCACCAAGTATGTTCATAGTCTTTGTCATTTATAATGTTTTTAAGTCCTGTTAAACACAAACAGCTCTGAAAGGAGTAACATAGTCAAAGGAAAATATAACATTGATGATTAGTGTCTTCTAAAACATTAAGAAAGAAGTTTAAGTTTCTCAAGTTAATAAAATACTAAACTAGAATATAAGTGCTACAGGAGTTTGTGGGAGGCTTTTTGTGCCTGATAGTCAGGATTCAGAATCACCATTCCCTTTGATGGTTTTCTGAATAATCATTAGACACATAACTCCTTAAATATGTTTACTCGTTTCTTTGAAAGGCTCCATGGGGAGGTTAATTGCCCATATTTTAGTGTTTGGGAGATTCAATAGTTTTTAGGTTGTGACACATTGCTTCAATGAAATCTTTCTCTGATACATCTGAGAAGACATTTCAAGACATTCTTCTACTCCTCACTCATGTTTATGGATCTCAGTTATCACCCACACTGCTAATATAACATAGAAAGGTTGGCTGAATTTGTGCTTGTTAAACTGGAGACAAAAATATCGTTTCAGTTACAAAATATTTGAGAATCTACAGAACAATTTTAAAAAAGATTTTATTTTATTATTATCTTTATTTTATGTGTATCCATGTAGTGCCTGCATGTAGGTAAGTGCACCCACATTGTGCACACAGAAGACAGAAGGGGCTGTTGGATACCCTGGAACTGGAGTTATGGACAGTTGTTAGCTGCCATGTGGGTGCTGGGATTCGAACCCGGGTCTTCTGCAAGAACAGCAAGAACTGCTGAGCCATCTCTCCAGCCCCCTACAGAGAAATTTTTAACAAGCTGAAAGCTCTATGGACATAATAATATTGTATTTGAATATTAAAATTCTAATAATGGAGATACTGTTGGCATAATTTAAGTGTATCTTTTAAATCTCCTAAATTCCAGCATTAAATCGGGAGAAGCCTAGGATGCAGTTTTGAACCACTTTATTACTTCAGATTATCCTATAAGACACAAAGTCCTTTGGTTATTATAAATTGTAAAGTAAAACTGCACATCTGTGTTTTCTAGATGGCAAAAGACTGATGACATGGAAGTAGAGGTGACACTCCACAGAGAAGGCGTCTGTGCAGCAGAGTGATTAAGGACAAGGAATCATGACCGTCCCAGGGGCACTCAGAATGCAGTCATCAGGAAAAAGTCAGGGGTCACATAGAGGTTGAGGTTGAGAGAAACCATGGATAATTTCCCCCCAAATGATCACATAACTCCGCTTTGAGATAATTATCAAATACAATATGGAGGAATGGACTGAATTGGAATTAAGTTCTGTGACATGGCACTTTTGAACATTTGAAAACATTTGTTGCCCTACGAGCTCTGTGACAAAGTGTTCTGAATGGAAGCTAACAATTTAAACAGGAATTTAGGATATTTTTAATGACTAAAACTGTCAAATGTTCTTCAAAACTGGCCTCTAAATTATATGCAGGTGCTACAGGACTTAACTCAGTATTGATCCTTAGAGCTACCTATCCAAGCCTAAAAATGCCATAGGAATGTGATTTTACTCAATAGGAGAAATAACTGCATTAAATGAGCAACCAAAATATTTTTAAACTAGAGTAATGGTATGTACTACTAAACCTGTGACTACATTATCAGTTTTGGAGTTTGCAAACTTGACCACCAAGCAGTTCTCTATATTGAGAATATACAGAATGTTAGATTTTTCTGAAAGTTAAATATATTCCACATTTCCTGAAAGTAGCAACTGGGAACATTAATCATACCCTGTGCAGTCAATAATTATCCTCAATATTTGACTATATCAGACTTATAAAAGATATTTTTAGAATTACTACTTACATTTTGATTGTAAAAGTTTATTTTTTTACCATTCTGCATTGGGAATGATGTCTTTGGAGCAGTGATTTTAATTATTTAACATTAATATTAGTGATAAGCTTTCATTTAATGTTTAATTCCCAAATGGGTTTCATGAGAAGTGAATACTTAATAAAATATCATAAATTGTACTTTAGAAATAATTTTTATTTATTATTTTTATTTTATCTGTATGCATGTATTGCCTACATGTAGGTAAGTGCACCCATGTCATTAGAAATAATTTTTTAAAAAGATTTTATGTATGCATGTATCTGTGCACATGAGTGTTTGGCTAGCCACGAAAATCAGAAGGGGGTATCAGATCCTTGGAGCTGGAGTTACAGGTGTTTGTAAGCTTCCTGATGAGGGTGCTGGGATCTTTACTCCCGTCTTCTGATAATGCGGTATGCGCACTTAACCTCTGAGCTATCTCTCCAGGCAATTAATAATATTTAAATGTTTTAAGGTACAAACATGAAATGTAACATTTAAGTTTTCAATATTCCAACTCAATCATTTACATTTCTACAATAGAAAGATTTACTGAATATGTAACAGTAAAAGTTAAAATATATGTGTGAAATTTTTAAAGAAACGTCATCAAGTCATATATTCCTATTTACTGAGTGAGCATCCCTGCTGAGTTGGAAGGATATTATATTACTTGGGAAAAAAACTTATTACCGTATTATCAATATCTTTCAGAGATATAGAAGTTAGGCTTGGAATTATAAATCATGGATTATATTAATCACCTATATAAGAATTACAACAAGGGTTATATAAAAAGCAAAAACAAAGAAATGCAAATTTAACATAAAATCCTGAGTATAAACAAGATATATTGAAAGCACAAACTGTTCTCTAGGCACTTGATTAAACATCAAGTGGAACAAGAAAGTTAATCTAGTGAATATGAAATTATACAAAATAATAGGGACTGTGAATGATAATAGTAAGTAGAAAATATTTTGTTATAAATGGATGGCAATACTTTGAAAGCTAGAAGATTTTATTTGCTAGTCTAGAAAGTACACTCCTTTTGAAATTAAAAGACATACATGTAATTTTGTATTTAAAATATCTCTTAGCTTTACCCAAAATTGGGGGAATTATTTTTACTTTTTTAAATTTTGTGCCTGTGTGTATGTGTGTGTGTTGGGATGCACACATGAGTGCAGGTGCCCACAGAAGCAAGAAGAGGGCATCTGATTCTGAAGGGCTGTAGTTACAGAGGGCTGTGTTCTACCTGGTGTGTGTGCTGGGAAATGCAGGGAGTCCTACAGGAGGGCAGCAAACATTCCTAAACGCTGACCCATGTCTCCAGCGTCCTTATTCAAAATATTAAGAGCTCAGAACACTTAATCAGCTACAGTGCTGATTACTAGCCCTCACTGTTGAGGTGCCTTTTGTAACCTCTGCAATCTCATTTTATTGATGTGATTTTTAAACCACATCAACACAAGGCTGCATTTTTCAAATCTAAAACATATTGCTCAAGAAACACTTAACATCAGCTTGTCTGTCCTTTAAATATGGCACGGGGTACTTTTTATTTTTTTTAAGTAACGGCAAATGTAAAAATGATACACACTTATATTGGCCAAAATGTTTACACAGATTAGGAAAACATGCAAATGGGTACGAGGACCACAAGTGGGGGGATTGTTAGTTCAAGAATGTGGACGAATTCATCAAAACGTGGGATGAAACATATCAAAAGTCAGTTCAAGAAAACAACAACAAAAAAAGCCCCTCTTTTTAAAACACCTTAATGGTTGGCATCAAAATGTAAAACTTAACATTCACTTTTTTGAAAAAAATTAAAAATGCATATTTATATGTAACAACAAGCA